TCTTGAACTGGTGAGGTGCAAGGAAGCTGCAGGCTGTCTCCTGAGAGGCCCGGTACTCGAAGGCAGGTTCATGGTACTTATCAGGGTTTCAGGGTTTCAGGGTTTAGGGTTTAGGGTTTAGGGTTCAGAACAGGGCTTATAAGTGGGTTGTAAGTACAGTTATAACTGGGCTATAAGTACCGCGAACCTCCAACTACGTCACTGTAGACGCCCCCAAGATCCCAAGCACCCCAAGTCACCCTGCTTTAGGGTTACAAAGGGTTATATAGGGTTTATATACGGCTACATAGGTTTGTAGAGGGTTGTAGAGGGTTGAAGGCTTGGGGATTAAAATACCCAGGTTACCCTCATAGGGTTTAGGGTTTAGGGTTTAGGGTTTAGGGTTTAGGGTTTAGGGTTTAGGGTTTAGGGTTAGGGGCTCCGAGTCCCGAAGTGCATCCTGCTTTGCGAAGCGTGCCTCCATGAAGATGTGCTCCAAGAACACCTGGTGGGTTGAGGGGTTAGGGTTTAGGGTTTAGGGTTTAGGGCTTAGGGCTTAGGGTTTAGGGTTTAGGGCTTAGGGTTAAGGTATCCTAAATTAGGTCCCTTTTTCGGATCCCTTTTTTAAAGGGTGCCGTGTTATAATGGGTTCCCAGAAAGGGACCCTAATTTAAAGAACCATCCAACTATCCCTGTTGAAGGTTCAGGGCTTCGGGCTTAGGATTCAGGACTCAAGACCCAAGAGTAGCCCGGGAATTTAAAAGGGTGGTGTAACTCTGGGCCAAGGATTTAATGCCCTCAATCCTCCCCTAAAGCAACAGACCGTAAACCCAACCCCCCTAGAGAGCCCAATACCCGTTAATTCAGGAATATGGCTTACACTATGATTTACGGAATCCTTAACCAAGGGGCAACCCTAAAACCCTAAACCCTAAACCCAAAACCCTAAACCCTAAACCCGAAACCCTGAACCCTGAACCCTAAACCCTACACCCTAAACCTTAAACCCTAAACCCCACCCCCCTTTCCCCCCGCGCGACATGCGGAGGCCTTCCAGTCGTGGCCCTCACAGGCGTGAGCTTCGCCAATGGCCACACGGGTCCCGTTCAAATTCCCCAGAAACTCCTGCGGTTTGGGGTTTAGGGTTTAGGGTTGAAAGTTTAGGGCTTAGGGTTTAGGTTTAGGGGTATACGAGGGACCAGCACCCTAGAACCAAAGCTTGAACCGACCCTGGACCCTGTAGCACTAAACACCAATACCGTAAACCCTGTGAACCCTGAACCCTACAAACCCTGAACCCTAAACACTGAAACACCCTGAACCCTTTAGCGCCAAGCCCGGAACCCCAAATCGCAAAAAACCGAAACCCTGTACCCCTAAGTACTAGATCCTACACAGCCCTAAACCCCGTAGAACTAAACCTTAAACCCCAAGACAACCCTGTTGGCCCCCAAGCCACCAAAATCGCGCTGCGCAGGAACCTAAACCCTAAACCCAAAACACCAAACCCTAAACCCTGAACCCTAAAGCCTACACCGCTTTTGGCGGTCCTCGGTGCGGGCCCGCTCGATGCAGACCGCGACCTGCGGCTTCTAAAGTGGCCCTCGAGTTTAGGGTTTATAGGGTTTATGGGGTTTTGAGAGATTTGTAGGTTCATATTTTAAGGGTTTATGGGGTTTTGAGAGATGTTTAGGTTTGTTTGTTAAGGGTTTGCGGGGTTTTGAGAGATTTTTAGGTTTTTGTTTAGGGTTTAGGATTTATAGGTTTTTGGGGAGTTTTTCTTGGGTTTACAGGCCTTACAGCTTTGGAGTAAGACCCTGGAAAAAATTATATACTTTTCAGGTATAAGTAGCGCTTATAGGAACCCAGAACACAACAAAGCATTGAAGTATAGTCAGCATAGTACTCCAAAGCCAGTAAACATAGGGTTTGCAGGGGTTATAGGGTTCATGGGTTTTAGGGTTCATAGGGATTAGGATTGAAAGCCCCATGAATATTGCTGGCAGCCGCAGCCTAGTGGGGATACATGTTTAGGGTTGAGGGTTTAGGGGTTAGGGGGTTAGGGGGTTAGGGTTTAGGGGTTTAGGGGTTTAGGGATTTAGGGGTTTAGGGGTTTAGGGGTTTAGGGGTTTAGGGGTTTAGGGGTTTAGGGGTTTAGGGGTTTAGGGGTTTAGGCTTCAGGGGCTTAGGGGCTTAGGTGTTAGGGTGTAGGTATGCAAGAGGAAACAGGTACCGTGGGTCTATCCTCTACACCTACTATACTTCTGCCAAGCCCCTTTCTTGTGTATCGTTTATAGTCTTGAGCCCCCTGTCCTTTCCTTCGCAGCCCTCAAACATGAAGCGCCCTAAGCCTAAAGCCTCAACCCTAAAACCAAAACCCTAAACCCTACCCAAAGGCTCCAATGTAGTTCCTTTTTCGGTTAGCTATAGGGGATTCTAGTCTACTACCCCAAGAAGGTACTACAGAGGAGCCTTTGGGTAGACCCTAAACCCTAGACCCTAGACCCTAAACTGCAAAGCATCTGGCCAGTTCGCTGCATGATGGCCGCGTTTGGGCAATCTGAAAGGTTCCGCTGGATAATCGGGACCCCACGTGCTGCGACCATCCGAAGAAGCGACCTTGTGTAACTCAAAGCCTAAACCCTAAACCCTAAACCCTAAACCCTAAACCCTAAACCCTAAACCCTAAACCCTAAACCCTAAACCCTAAACCCTAAACCCTAAACCCTAAACCCTAAACCCTAAACCCTAAACCCTAAACCCTAAACCCAAACCCCATTCCGGGGGATCGAGGAGGTAACAAGTCGGAGGATGGAGTCCCCGGCACCCATATTCCTAGTGTCTAAACCTTAAACCCTAAACCCTAGCATCTTCTGACATCGGCCTGCATGCGGCTCGGCGCATCCACACGAGCCTGGACAAGGAGCCTGCAGGATGAGGTTAGGGCTTAGGGTTTAGGGGTTTAGGGGCTTAGGGGTTTAGAGGGTTTCGGGTTTAGATTTCGGGATCAGGGTTCAGGGTTGGTTTAGGTTTAGTTGAAAGTACCTGTTCCCCAGATGGCCTTTCTTTGTCCCATGGGGCTGGGGTGGGTTTGCAGAGCCGCGGTAGGGTTTAGGGTTTCGGGCTTAGGGTTTGGGGTTTGGGGTTAGGGTTTGAGGTTTGGGGCTTAGGGTTTAGGGCCATGAAATCTAATCCCATTGTGGGTTCACAATGAGGGCTTTGCAAGGAGGAGTCCTAGAGCTGTGACATCTACTCGTATCAGCCCGAGGGGCGCTATACCCAAGATGTAGCAGGTTATACTCTGCCACGGTTTAGGGATTCGGGTTTAGGGTTTAGGGTTTAGGGCTCTTGGACTCTTGCAAGCTCGGTGAACGGCTCTGAGCCTGAACTCTATAAGCACTCAACCGAAGTCAGGGCGTGCCCTACTCGCTAAACCCTAAGAGGGTCACTAAGCAATATGCCGGAATATAGCTCAGAGTTTGGGTCACAACCTAGGCTTGGGTTAGGTTTCAGGGTTTAGGGTTCAGGTTTCAGGGTCTAGGGTGCAGAATTTCGTGTAGGGGCTGCACTGCAAAGGAATGAGAGTCGCGAGGGTCTTGCGGTTTTCAGGCCCAGGTGCTTCTAGGCAGGCTACGGCCACCAGCAAGCCCTTCGCATGTGCGGGGTCGATCTGCATGAATGGAAACTTTTGTACTAGGGTTTAGGGTTTGGAATTCTGCCCCCCAATGTGAACTGGGGTAGGTTTGGGAGCCCTCGAAAATTTCCAAATTTTGTATGGCTGTGTAAGGATTACATGAAATAGTGGATCAAGGGAAATAACAATTAAGCAATATGTTCGAACACCTACTTTGAGGTTCATGGTACTTATTAATTATTACAGTGCTTCTAACCCACTTATATGCCCCTTAAGTGGCCTCATATGGTGATAAGTACAGTTATAATTCCCCTAAACCCTAATCCCTAGACTCTGAACCCTAAACCCTCAACCCTAATATGGCTATAAGTGCAGTTATGTGTACAGGTACAATTGGTCAAGAAGTGCAATGAACCTCGAAGTACCCCTGTAAAGTCCTGCGGCACACGTCAGCCGAGCCGTCGCGCAGCTCCGCCCTGCAAAGAAAACAACGACTCGTGCTTCCATTATATAGGGTTTTTGAGGGAGGGTTTAGGGTTTAGGGTTTAGGGCTTAGGGTTTAGGGTTTAGGGTTTAGGGTTTAGGGATTAGGGTTTAGGGTGTAGGGTTTAGGGTTTGGGGCCCTTAAGGGAAGGGGGTTCAAGGGGGGTATATAACCCAAGATCCCCTACGAGTCCCTAAGGCTCCTTAGCTTCCCCAAGGTTCCCTAGGCACCTACGTCCCATGAACCCCCTTCATTTCAGAACCCGAGAGAGACAAGGGCCTAACTTGGATTATCCTACTAAAGAACCAGCTGCTCAGCAACTACTTATGTCTCAATCCTCCACGATGGATTCTCATACGACTGGCATTCTGACCCCCCCCCCCCCCCGCGTAGACGTCCTACAAGGACCTCAGAACCCCAAGTTGTCAAACGACATAGCCAAAACCTTCAGGCACCTTTCCAACAGGGTCACCAAGGTTGCTCATCAAGGAAATTAACTAGTTCCCTAGTTGTTGAAACCTTCAAGTCCTAGCTGATCCGAATCTGCAAATGACCTCTGTGACATTCAACATATGCCAGAATCTCAGTATGACAGACGACAACACCTAAACTACGTTCCACATGAAAGAAGCAGCCGAAAGCCACCGAAGGTAGGGTTGCAAATCAGGTCAGGAAACGTGCCCAAAGCACCATTCTCTAAGCCCCAGCAGATGCAAACATTTTGGGCAGGGTCGACGGCGCCCGAATCTGGAAGAGGCAGCTCATCCAAGTGACTGGCCAGGCTTCGTCGAAAGTACGCTGCGCTGCATCACGCATAGAGTCTGAACTCTGCTGGCACAGTCTGCAGTCTACAGTCTACAAGAGTTGGGTCTGGAGCTTCAGTCGAAAGTACGCTGCACTGCATCACGCATAGAGTCTGAACTCTGCTGGCACATTGCACTGGCCAAAGCGGTTGTCCCCAAAGCATACCACATAGCCATGAGAAGTCATCGCGCAGGTGTGATGCGGACCTGCGGCCACCGCGACTACCGCATCCAGACCAGCTGGCACGCTGCATTGGCCAGAGTCAGAGCGGCCGAAGCACACCAGTTCGCCCGAGGCTTTGAGCGCACCTCACTGGCTGAGCTGTCTAAGAGGAAAAGGACAATAACGGGACCTTAGGGGGGGATTGTCCCCCTAAACCCTTGGAAAGTGTTGCTCATTGGCGCATGTACTACAAAACTTTTTTGAACATTGGAGGCATTCGACTACTTGTCTACAACATTGTGCTTTCAAAACGTTCTGCTACATTTGTACTTTGCTGCCTACTACTCGTCTACGAACTCAAAACAGGTTAAACAGAGCGTAGGTCTGTCATATAGAGATTCTAGTTCACTACCCTCAAAAGGTACCAGTACTACAGAGGAGCCCTTAGGCAGGCTGTGAATCTTGAGTCTTGGACCGGGCCAAGATTGAAATATTGATGCCGATTCATAATATTGCACTGCAAGCAATTTCTCACTGCTCTGCTTCCCTAGCTTCAAAGCCTAAACCCTAACCCTAAACCCTAAACCCTAAACCCTCAACCCAAGACGTAAGGAAAACAACAGCCTGCGTTTCTCAGGCTTCAAAGCCTAAACCCTGCGCCCTAAACCCCAGAAGTAAACATGCTGAAAGGTTCCTAATCACTCAGCACCGAAGGCGCAGGTATGGGCGAATCCTGCAGCCACCGCAGTGACCGGGCCAAGGTTAGCCGGCACGTCGCATTGGCCATGCTCGTTCTGTCCAAAGCATACCTAGGTACCCAAAGAGCCCTCTACCCCTGAAATGAGGAATATACCTAAAATCATCTTAAGGATCCCCATATGCTTCAAGGTATATTCCTTAACTAAGGGCTTGGGGCTGTTTGGGTACCCCAGCGAGGGTTTAGGGTGTACGGTGTACGGGTTTTGAGTTTAAAGGATTCTGGTTTAGGGCTATAGGTTCAAAATAGCTTCGCTAGGAGAAGAGGGTGCCTGTTCGAGTTTGCTACTAAGCTAACATAAACAACAACAAAGGGAACTCGAGTATGTCATGGTGTCCCGGGTACCAGGGAGCCATCTGCCTGCACAGCGCAGGTATGACTCAGCCCGGCAGCGACAGCAACCACGTTGCCCAAATTCGGAGGCACCTCGCACTGCCCGCGACTGTTACCACCAAAGCAAGCCAACTGGCCATTCGTGGTAACTACGCACGTGTGCTGTTGCCCAGCAGCCACGGCTGTAACCGGACCCAGGCCCGGTGGGACGTTGCAACTCGAAGGCGCTCCAAAGCAAATAAGCTCTCCGCATGCCTTCACTGCGGCGGTGTGGTAGAATCCAGCAGCGACTGCAACGACTCGCCCGACATTTGCTGGTATATTGCATTGTCCGACAGTATTGTCCCCATAACATGAGAGCTCTCCAGATTGTGTCAAGACACACGTGTGGGCTAACCCTGCAGAAATGCAGGACACAGGACTCACCATGTTTTGCGGCACACCATGGTCCACAGCCGCACCGAAACAAGCGAGTCGCCCGCTGGAAGAAATGGCCCAGGTCCATCGGGAGGTCGCAGCCAGTGGGCATTTGCTGGGATTCCTTACCGCCAAGAACTGCAGAATCTTTTCGCCACAAGGGCCGGGCGTTGTCTGGCCAGTGCGGTTCCTGTGTGCGATAAGCAGACACAAGTGGTGGAGATCGCGGCCGACAACGCGAAAACCTGGCGCCCTGCCCTCAAGACGCACAATCACCATGGCTGGCTCCGACTCTAGCTCACCCCTTTCTTGGGGACTTAAGGTGACCCGAAGATACTAAGAGGTCCCAGGGTCCATACGTGCAACTCTGCTTACCTACAGCTTCGTAGTCCTCACCCCTTGTAGGTAAACCCAGAAAACTCAAGGCAACAAGAGTCGAGGTATGCTTTAGACAGGTTTCAGGACACATGAGTTTCAACTTTGGGGTCGCTACTTGTCTCTAATCTAGGTTGCCCAGTATCCTAGGATTAAAAAGGGTGCCCTTTTTTGCTTAAAGGGGTTTATAAGGGAACCTACACCCCCAAAAAAGGGAAAAAGGGTAGTACTGGGCATCCTAGTAATTGTGTGCTACCTATCAGAAATAGGTACCCGAAGACATGCAAATGGACCAGGTCCTGAGATTTAGTATGCGCCCTGTAAGGCCACTGTACCCACCGATACTGGCTCCGGCTGTCCAGGCGTGTGGCAGAGGGCTCAAGCGTGCTACCGTTTAGGGTTTAGGGTTTAGGGTTTAGGGTTTAGGGCTTAGGGCTTAGGGTTTAGGGTTTAGGGTTTAGGGTTTAGGGTTTAGGGTTTAGGGTTTAGGGTTTAGGGTTTAGGGTTGAGAATGTTCGAAGTATAAGAGAACCCCATCAACACAATCAGGACAACATAACATGTCGCAAGGGTCTGTCTGTTTTAAGGGTGAAGCAACTCTGTGGTTCACCTACAAGGAGGGGCACCCTAGTTACAACCCTAAACCCTAAACCCTACACCCTAAACCCTAAACCCTAAACCCTAAATTGGGTTATAAGGATCCTAAAGTAGGTTATAAGTCCCTTAACTACAGTTAGAATAGTAGGGGGGCCCCTCCTTGTAGGCCTCCAACCTGTGCTTCCCTTCTTACATGAAAAGTCAGGGCCCCATAAGGACCTGCATTTGGGGCCCGGTAGGGCCTGCCCAAAGGCTCTAGTGTAGTACCTTTTTGGGGTAGTAGACTAGAATCCCCTATAACTAGCTATCCCAAAAAGAACTGCATACTATGGGTAGCGTTCAGGGTTCAGGGTTCAGGGCATAATTACGTGGATAAGGGAATAAATCGGACAGAGGTGGGACGCAGACCTGTTTTACGGTAAACCCTCAACCCTCAAACCCTAAACCCGAAACGCTCAACCTCCTCAGTATATCGAGGCCCGTGCAAAAATGAGGGGCTTGGGTGTGTTTAACAGGGATTTAATGATAAAAAAAATAATAATAACAATAATAATATTAATAATATTAATAATAGTAATAATAGTATAGGATACATGACCGCAATTTCACGGTTCATTTGGTCCCTGAGCCCGCCCTGAAAAGGATCGGGGAGCTGCGCTTGGGTCATCCCGCGCCTTGCGGCCAGCAGCCAAATCTTCCACCGAAGATGCCTCCACGCACGCGGTTTGGGGTTTAGGGTTTAGGGTTTGGGGTTTAGGGTTTAGGGTTTAGGCTTTAGGGTTTAGGGTTTAGGGTTTAGGGTCCGCCGTCTTTCCCTCCTTACCCCCCCAAAACGCGGGGGGGGGGGGGGGTCGGTGCACAATTTTTTCGTGGAGGACCGCGCCACCCGCACAGCGTAAACAGGCGGTTCAGCACAGGGGGGTAGGGGCGCCCTCAGCAAAATCAGCGTCCAAAACCAACCCCCCACCCCCCCCCCCCCCCCACCCCCCCCCCCACCCCCCCACCCCACCCCCCCCACCCACCCCACCCCACCCCCACCACCCCCCCCACACCACCCCCCCCACTTTTGGCTGAGCGTCCTGGTGCTACCCCTAACCCCCCCCCCCCAAACGTTTCACAGAACTCTGCCGAGCATGCTGGGATGATTTTTGAATCATGCGAGCGGGTTTAGACCTCTCAACTAATGTTAGGGTCACCTTTATAAACCGGGTGTCAATAGTGGCAACTTTTCCGGCCGGGATTTTTGCCCAAAAGTTTGTTTCATGAACAGTTTCCATTATGTTAGGCTGCCCCGAACCCTAGACCCCATTTTGAGGGGGGTCGTAATCAAAAAACGGGTGGTAATAGTGGAAACTTTTCCGGGAGAATTTCCCAAATGTGCTTCCGAGAGTACTCCTCTTTTCACTCGAGGCCGAGACCACACAGCTGAGAGCGCTTCACTTCAGCAGAGGCAGTCCTAGAGAGTGCCTTAACTGGTTGAGGTAATAACGCTCGGCCTTGGGGCCGTCGCAAGAGAGGCAGCCAGAGACCCATCTGCAACGACTGCAGACGGAGCAGCCAAAGAGTCTAATTTGAGAAATCTTGTCCTGATGTTCCTTAGGAAGATCAGAGAGCTCAGGTTCCTTGCCTAGAGACAAAACCTTGGCAGCGAGTTTCGCTGCCTGAGAGGCTGCTTCTGCTGCGACAGAGGCCTTCTTGGCAAGCTCTTGAGAGACCTTGAGGTTCTTGAGTCGGCTCTTCTCCAGAGACTTCAAGCGAGAGGCCTGGGGCCAGAGAACACCCAAAGAAGCCCGAAATCCTAAAGACCTAAACCCGAATTAGGGCTTAGTTAGGGTTCATTAGGGGGGTTTGGGGCCTGCTGGCCTGCTCGTTCTGGAGCTTGTCTTGTTCGCCAGAGAGCTGCCCGAGCCATGTTCTGAGGAAGTTCATGAGATCCATGACGATCACAGAGCTCCAGCCCCTGCTCGCGGGGCCTTCCCCTCGCTTGAGAGCTACCACCTCGAAGATGTGGGTCAGGACATAGAAGCCACACTCGTCAGATTTCTGCCTCTGAGAGTCTTCACGTTGGGGCAAAGTCTTGCCGGGGAAGAGGAAGTCCAACAGAACCTGGGCATTCGCAGCGCAGCAAGGGTGCGGCTCCTCATCGTTCAGAGAGTCGTAGTACTTGATACGAACCTCATCAGACTCCTGGTCCAAGTGCAGCAGAGTCCAATGCTTTGGGCCATCACCCTGGCCCCAGACAGGCACGAAGAGCGTCTTGAAGAGCTCACCCTCGCGTTTCAAGGCGTTTTCCACGATAGAGACATCAAAGCACTCCTTCGTGATGTACTGGAGAGAAAGCTTGGGGTCCACGATGCGAATGCCTTGCTCAAAGAAGAAATTCTCAGAGCCCTGGCTGAAATGCCATCGGAGGAGCTCGAAACCATAGAGGATGTGTTGGTCCAGCAGCATCTGAGGCGGAGTCTTCAAGAGCTCAATCGGCTCCGGCCCGTAGACACTCTCCTCGAGAAAGAGCTGGGAGCCTCCGCAAGAGTGGAGGACCCTCTGCTTGAGTTCACGAGAGAGCCGCATGTGCTTCCAGGACAGAGGCTTCAGCCAAGAGGCCTCCTTCTCCACAACCAGAGAGTCAGGCAATGTCAAAGTCGCCATGCTGTCGCCCAGACACGGGAGAGTCACCGTGCCTTTGCTGAGGTTGTGGTGAGAGCAGGTCGCCTCCTTGCCACAGTGGACGCCGAGCTGCAAGACCCGACAGACCCGGCCCGCCAGAGGTCCTTTCTTGCAAAGAAAAAGGAACAGGAGAAATTAAGAATTAAGTCTTCACTTAGTAAGGTTTACAAAAAAGCCCGGGCGGGGGCGGGGGGGCTGTCCTTTCGTGACTTCTGCCAGAGTGGCCTCTTCAGCTTCGACGTCGGAGTTTTGGAGTGCCAGAGCCTCGGCAGCATTCATCGTGAGAGCCTTCATGAGAGCCTTGCCGTCAGCGGTCTTCTTGACCTTGAGCTTCTGGAGCTTCTTTTTCTTCTGAGAGATGGCTTCAGAGGCCTCGCCCGCACGAGGCACGAGCTTGCCTAGAGTCTGGCCTAGAGACTGCGTCTTCAGCTTGTCTCTCAAAGCCTTGCGAAGCTTGGCAGAGACTCGTTTCTTTGCCAGAGACTTCACCATCTTCGCGTACCTCCTAGAGGCTTTCTTGTCCTTCACAGAGACAGGTGTCGAGATAGAGCGGCGTTGAGCTGCAAGTTGCAGTTCGAGAGGAAGGCGCAAGAGCCCACTTTCGATGCATGGCAGCTGCAGCTCAGAGGGCAGTTCCGAGATGTCCATCAGAGCTTGGTCCTCCTCTGGCGCAGAGGCGGGATTGTGAAAGTCCCACTCGTAGAGGTCCGCCAGCTCTTTAGAGGCCGTGATGAGGCTGAAGTCTGGCTTCAGAGGAACAAGATTCTTGTCCACCCAGAGAAAGCGATCTCTCAGCCAAGAGACATCGATCCGCTCAGAGCCTCTGCGAATCCAAAAGCAATGAAAGAGTTCAACCTCAAAATGTTTAATGAAAAGAGAAAGGGTTGATGAACCAACAAAAAAGGTCGAGAAGCCCATTTGGACACCTCCGACTTCCTCAGAGGAGAGTCGAACGAGTTTCTGCTCGGCGAGAGAAGCCTTGTAGGCGAGGATGCCGTTGCGGCGGAGTCCTGCCACCACCCAAGAGTTCTTCTCGTTCCTTTGCCGAAGAGTTGTCTGAGCAGAGACAATGGCCTTCACCATGTCGAGAGGCGAAGCCTGCCAGGGTTCACGAGAGCCCTGAGCAAGAAGAGCCTGCTGTCCCGAGCTCCTGAGAGACTCCATCTCGGCTCTGCAGAGAGCTTTGAACGACAGAGCATAGTCCGTGTCAGTTAACTGCAGAGAGGCAGTTAGCTTGGGTGCCAAGAGGCACTGCAGGTGGTTGCTCGCGTAGAGGGACTCTGTTGCAGAGGTCGTCCAGGCCCCCGCAAAGGCATCTCTCTGATGCAGAGCCACGACAGAGACCTTTGCGAGCTCTTCCTGACTCCATTTGAAGATGATAGAGTCGACATTGGCCGAGGGTTGAGACATCACAGAGACTTGCTCGAAGAGAAGAGGGTCCTTGTCGCGAGCCTGACGCCACGAGAGCAGGATCTTCCCGGCGTACGACTTCGCAGAGCGGACCACCTGCTTGCCCTTCCAAGAGAAAGACTCCTCCACAATGAAGCGACCAGAGCTATCAATGTTGGAGAGCCTGGCGTGGACACCATGCACCACAATGAGTCCTGGAAGAACCGCGCCAGAGAGCTGGGCTTGAGGTT